AGTCGATAATTTTGGTTTCCTTCTCTCCTTCCTTTGGCATCCCAAAAAGAGAAAAATAAAAGATTGAGATGATTTCCCAAGAGGCAGAGGGAGAGGTACATTACCCATGACCCCCCTATTCGCCTACACTTTGTCAGAAAAGGCTACAAAAAGTAGAAAGATCAATAAGATGAACATTTTTTGTTCATTGGGATTGATATAAAAGAAAAAGAAAATTTGGGATTCAGAGAAGGGAGATATAGGGAGAAAAGAAACCAGAATGAGAATGCCTGAAACTTGCTTGAGTTGAATCCAAGTGTTCCTTGATCGATACTCCCAAGTTAAAGCCTACACTTTTATTTTATGCAATAAATGAAATCAGTAGAGGGGATAGACAAACAGGATTGCTAAGTTGATTGGCTAGATGAATTTGATTGCTAAGCTAGGATATGGTATAATGTACTTCTGTAGTTAATAGATATGAGATGTGGCTTGCAACGAAGTAGAGGTGATGATCTTAAGTTAAGATTTGATTGAGTCCCTGCTATTTTCTAAAATTCTTCCAAAGACTAACTATTGTGTTTGCTTGAGGACAAGCAAAAGGTTAAGTCTGGGGGAGTTGATCTACCATAGTTTTCACCCACTTTTAACCATGGTATTTAGATGATTTTGCAATATATATATTTATATGTTTTGGAGTCTATTAGGTATGTTTTCAGGTTAAGGAGCATTTTGGAGTAAAGTGATGATTTAGGTGCCCTTATGGAGCTTAAAGGAGAGTTTTCCCGAGAGGACTATAAAGATCAGACAACAAGGTCGATATCCAGAGATTCATATAGATCGATACACATCTTGTGTAATCGATCGACGACGCTTTCGTAGAAGATGACGAATCGAGATACTCCATCGATCGATGTATGCCTTGTACCATCGATCGATATCGAGCGTGAAGAACAAGTTTGACTCAGCCAATTTGAAGCCCAAGTTCTCTAAATATTACAATATTGCTCCCAGTGAGTTTTTAACCTAATGAAACTCATATTTATAGTTATGCCTATGTGTTTTGGCTAGACATGTTTTTATGCTTTTTGTGCTTTGAGTGTGCTTTTAGTGCATTTGATTTCTTCTATTCTTAATACTAAAAGTTTTTTGATTTATAAAAGTATTATTTTCATCTTAATCTGATTTTTATAAAAGGGTATAGAGTTCTAGATTTAGAAGAACACACAAAGAGATTTGTTGTTCAAAATGACCAAGAGCTCAATCTTCTAATCTTATGAATTTCTATTATTACCTTGATACTATGAATCACTTAGCCATGTCTGAGTAGATTCACTTGTTAGATTTAGGGTTCAAATAGTTATGAGGGATTAGCCCTAACTTTGGAATGTTGAGTTGTGATATTCATTATCCTTATCAACCCTAATGCTTACTCTAGAGTAGCTAACTAGAGTATGATCATGGAATGGTTTAACTTGTTAATCATCATCCTGAAATCATCTGGTATAAGATGAGATCCTTTAGGGACGAACGAGAGCCGGCCTATGATCTTGGTGAACACATATTCAATTTGATCTGAAGATATATTGATCGATACTCCTATAGAGTAATCGATCGAGGCAAACCATATCGTCCGATATTGCTGTCAAAACATCGGTCGATATTGTCGGCAATCAGATCAATGGACGAGACTAATAGAGATTTCTAATAGACTTATCTAAGAGTTGAAGTTCTTTAATATCTTGCAAGCAACTTATAAAGACATTTGTAGCATTATAATCCTGATTATCTGAATAGCAACCTTAAATCTAACTACTTTCTTTTATTGTTTAAAACCTAAACCAATTCTCTTGAGCAACTCTTCATTGCTCACAACTGCAATTTACTTTAAATCTTAATCAACCTAGCATAATCACTTAGGATTATATGTTTTTGTTCCTCAGTTCCTTGTGGATTCGATCCCTAAGTACTACAACTGAACCTCTTATTTGAGAGAGTAATTCACTCCTTAGGGTAATTTGAGTGATATCACAAGCTCAAAACCAACCTCCTCCACCTCATCAAAACCCGGTGACGTTGGATGACCTTCTTGTTATTCATGAACGTGAGAACTTCCTTCCAGTCTTATCTTCAGTTCCAAAAGATGGAACTACTTGGTAAAGCAGTCCACTTTATACACTGAGTTTGGTTTGTGTTTTATATTTTTTTTCTTTTCAAGGACAATTAGCTTTGATTGGGTTCTGTTGATTGGTTTTACAAGGTTTGTGTAACAGATAAGATAGCTTCTCTTTGGCTTTATATGGTTTGTGTCAATATGATATGGGTTGTTTCAGTTTTAGTGTAATAGAACTAGAGATAAGTTTAAGCAAGCGATATGGTCTTTTGGTGAAGAAGTAGAAGAATAAGTTGATGTTTTGTCCTCATTATTTTTGTAGAACACTGATGATACATGATCTTGAAACAAAATCATATGATGCTGCTTTTCTGCTTAATTCATTGGATATCCTGTTTGTTATTTCCAGAGACTAATCTCTATTTTGTAAATTGATATTATTGTTGTTTCCTTCTTCTAGTGAGTATGAGTAGACATATCAGATTTTTTTACTTCTTTGAATGTACACCAAATGTTTCTTAATTGTAACAACTTCATTTGTTCATCTTCTAGGTTTGATCGTGATGGTGGGAAGCTGATTCCAAAGATCTCAAAGCTCTTAAAAGCTAAGTTTGACGGTCCATATTATTGCTGGACAGATACGCCTCCTGAAATCCAACTTCGATATTTTGAAGACTTTGCGGTTAAATATTCATCTTAAGTAACATATTTTTTTATGTCAGGTTTGTTTATTACTTACATACTAATGGGTTGATGTGTAGCAAGGACACCATTGGGATAGGTCAATCACAGAACTTGTACGAGATGAGTTTGAAATCATATGCCTGAATCGTATGAAAGGAATGGTGTCTCAAGCAAAAAAAAAGGCACACGGCCAACTTGTATTGGAGTTACACTGTGGGACCAAATGTGTGCCTATTGGGCCACCGATGCAGCCAAGAAAAAAAAGTAAACGAGCATCATATGCTCGAAACTCAGACCGTGGTGGAATTGGATCATTCAAGCCCTTCGCAGGACAATGGTCCTTCTTACGTGTTCAGCAAAGTATGGTAAATACATGAACAAAAACTCAGTCACTTATAAATTTTGATCTTTATATGTTTCAAGTTCATTTCACTATTGTAGGAAGAAGAATTGGACAGACCTGTGAGTATTGGAGAAGTGTTCGTAAAGACACATACAAAGGTCAATGAGACATTTAGTGATCTAAAGGCTCAGCAGATCGCCTAAGCTTATGAGAAGAAACTACTTGAGAAGCTGACCCAAGTTGAACAAGACATTTGTGCGAATGTTGGTGATAGTTCCTCTACTCCTGAGCTTACACCAGATGAAATGAATGAGCTCTTTCTTGAGGTAAAACATGTAAATTATTTTACAATTGTTATATAGTTTTGTTATCTATTAATAAGTGAAACATTTCATTATTTTCAGAGTACTAAATTGGATATGAGAGGACATGACTATGGACTTGGTAGCCTTCTTCCACTTTATGGGAGCAAAAAGAGAAAGGAGGTCCTGGATGTTCAACTTCTTTTGCATTTGCACAGTTGCAAGAACAACTTGAAGCTGCTCACCGTCTAATTCAAGAGCAAGCAGAGGCCAACGCTCGACGTGATGCTGAAACCGCTGCAGCCAATGCGTGCCATGGTGCTCAAACAGCAGCTGAAGCTGCAGAGAAACAAAGTCAAATCAATACTCTGAAGATGCTGGTCACGTATATACAAGGTAAAGACCCATCATTCTAGGAGTTTATGACTGCAGCACATGTAGGAACACCAACTCCTATGCCTTCAGTAGTTCATGACTTGTTTTTTGGTTGGCACAAATATATAAGTAGTTAATGCCTTTGTTTTTGGTTGGCATAGATGCCTAGTTGATGACTTGTTTTTGGTTGGAACATCTATTGTTTTTTGGTACTTAATCACTTCTTTTTTTTTGGCAAATGTGCCTAGCTAGTTATGACTTGTTGTTTCTTTTTGGACCTTTATGTTTAAGTAATGAAATCAACAGATGTTCCAAAATGAATATCATAGTAGATTTCTTATATATTTCTGATTTCAGGTTATAATTTAGCAGCTAAATATTCAAATACTGTCGTTATTAGTCACCAGAAATATAACTACATTGCCACAACAATACTGAGATGGTGGTTGTTATGTAGTCACTAATTTTGTGTGTTTTGCAACTATAAGAAAGGAGGTTTGCAACATAGTTACTAAGTTTTGTAACGAATTTGCAACCCTTAAAAATTTTGTAGTTACAAATTAGTCGTTCTATATATTCATAATGCAGACGCAAAATAGTCACTATTCTTTGTAACTTATCTGATACTTACCCAAATAATAAGGTTGCTTATATGTCACATACATTTATGCTACATTAGGACTGCATAAACTAAAGCAGAAGCAAATTAACCATAAACATTTTCTGAAATAAAAAAGTTGCTAATTAGTCACAGCATTATAAATATTTGCAGCTTTTGTTCGAGTTGTGCTATAGTTGCTAATGTACCACTAATTTTATCATCGCAAGTTCGTTGTAAAATATCAACGGATTTACAACTGCTTTCATTTGCGACGAAGCTTTTCTAACTATATATCGTAGTCGCAAATACGTTACAAAGTTAATATTTACAACCATTTAGTGACTAATTCTGTAGTTGCGAAATTCATATTTTCTTGTAGTGACCGCTGAAGTCGGTAATTGGGGACGGCATCAACATATGATTCTTTTTAAAAGAGGATTGAAGATTTTTGTTAGTGAGCGATATTTTGGATATGTGATTATTTTGAAAGGTTTATTTTATGTTTTTTCAACGTATTATTACTATTATTATTATTATTACTATTATTTCAGTTTAGAATTGATTTTTACTGAAAAATAAAAGAAAAGCTATATGGACCTAGTAGTAAATACGTAAACATAAATCTCAATCATGAAAAGGCAGTACAAAACATTTCGAAGAATTCAGTTAAGCAAAGCAATAAAACAACAGAATTCGTAGTCGAGACTCTAGTATTTGAAAGGACTAATGATAATCCCTTTGCTTAAACGTCAACACCACATCGCTGGACAAGCTGGTACTTAACAGCTGGACCTTCACCGGAAAAATGCCCGGCAAGAGTAATGTAAGCTGGACAATTGACGTGTAGGCGGTACCTGCCGGAGATCCACGTTCCCACTTTCCATCGAACCCAACCGTCGATCTTGATGTTCAGAAGCACCATCCCTGCCGTAAGATCTTGGCTTAAAGCAGGCGAAAAATACGGTGCCACCGGCACGGATGTTCCGTAGAGAAACGGCGACCATACCGTTACATCAAGGTGGCCTTGGTAAGTCGCCGGCAGTAAAGTTGCCAACGTCACCTATACAAAAGCTTAGACAAATTTTAGTCTTCAGTATTATAACTTCTTTAAAACCAACATGCAAAATTTAGTGAATTCTGTATTGTTTAGTACATACGTTGCGATGGGATCAGTCAATTAACAATTAAGGTTAGTCGGTCCTTCGTATATGTATTTGTATAACATGAATCATTATCGTATGAAAAAAATATTACTAGAAAAAAAATATTCCTCAGTCCTCTCGTGTGCACATCTATATTCGTAAAATATGCATTGATGTCAAATTAAAAAAACTAGATCCCAAACTATAAAGTAATGTTAGACAATTTTTTCGTTTGAGATCGGTCATGTCGACCAAGGTTCGTGGGTCCATTAATATTTTTTTTTTTTTTTGGGTCCATTAATATTTCTTGATAACATTTTTACTATTACGAATTTGTGATCTTGATTTCGCTAAGATATATTTTAGCAAGAATTGCATGGAAGAAATGCTAGTACACGCCAACATACCTGTTGGTTGCGGTAGGAGGCGTAAATGTCAAGGCGGTCATAGAAGATTCCGATCTTGTCATTAGGATTTCGAGAAGAGAGAGTGACCTGTAGATTGGAGGTGAGAAAGTTGGGCTGAGAGATGTTAAACGCGTAAATGGTTGCGTCCTGAAGAACAAAACGCGGCCCGTGCGGGTGAAGAATGGCCCACACCAAGAAAACCACAAAAAGGCCAGCTGCAAGCAAGCCAAGCACCGCCGCTCCTATGCGTCTGCGCATCTTCTCATCCTCGTCGTGGTGATGCTCACATTCTTTCTCTGTCATTGTGGCGGTTTGTTTAACCGTTGATGGCGGATAGGGATTAGTGTAGTGGTTTTTAAGGCAGAGAGCTGTTTTGTTTCTGTTATATTTAAAGAAAAAACAGAGAGTTACTGTCTTCTTCTTTTTTTTTGTCACATCAAGAGACAGAGAATTACTATGGAGTTCAATGGTGCTGATATATATACAACAACCGTACTCTTTGCGATGATAAATAATTAAAAGTATTATTCGAAACGATTATCACTGCCAAAAGCGTAACTTCATATTCTTCTAATACATTTATGTTTTGTCAGCCATCATTATATAACTAAAGAGCTATTTCTTAAAGGAAATTATCATATATAACATGAGATATCCACCAAACTATAACCTTGTATCACATCTCTGTGAATCGAAAATTACAAATTTGTTTCTCTCTAAATCGATAATTCGAAACTTAGTATAGCCATATACTATATTTTTATTGGTTTATTGTTAGCTATATAACTTAAACCAATTAAACAAGTTAATAATTCAATTGTTATAAAAAATGCTTATACACTATTTAAACTCCACATTATCATTATTATCAAATATTTTTTGAAAACTTCTTTTTTGAGAAAATTGAATATTTATTTGTTTTAAAACTATTTGGTTAAATGATTGAACCGTTATTTATGTGTAATTAAGTTCCAAACTATTAGTTCGGAAATAAATAGATTTCAAACTATAGATTTGAGGAGAAATAAATTTATAACTTATAATTCAGGAAAATATAGTACAAGGTGATAATTCGATGGATATTTAATGCTATATAATAGTTTTTATAGGGTAATATAACGTTTAGTTTTTAATTGTTCACTTTATAACTTTATCTATAATGCCTTTCTCAAAAGAAAAGAGAAAAACTTTATCTATAATGCAAAATTCTGGAAGAATATGTTTTATTTCTGTAAAATTGTAGTTATTTTTATGATGTGCCCAGTAAGCATGATAAGTTGTAGGCCGAAAGAATACCAATTGCTAAACCATAAAACAATCTAACATTATCAAAAGCATCTGTGGTCGCCAAGGAAAAACCACAACGATTTTCATATTACGGTTATGATTGTGTAAGACAGTTCTGAAACATTGATTACAGACATAGTTTTTAATAATTTTAGAAAGCTTACCCACTGTAAAGCATTTTATGGGTGGGTTAAGAATCTCCTTTCCGTTTGTTAAAAAGAATTCAAAGAATTCTTTTTCTGTGATGTCCAAAAAGAAAAAGGAAAATTGTTTTTTAGGCAAAACAATTAGTACATTATCCTTTTATGCTAATTTCATAGTCTAATTATCCTATTAGACTAAATATTCTCTAAATGAAAATATACTCTTAAAATTAGTTTATTAATTTAAAATACTAATTAAAAATACTAATTTTATATTCATTATTTAATAAAGAAACTAATCTGAAATTTTAAAAAATATTTTTCAAATATTTTATTCCCAAATTTTCAAGATTCCAAATATTTTTAAAAATATATATTTCTAAATACTTTTTGTAAATATATCTCCAAATATTTCAAAAAACTAATTCGAAATAACAAAAATAATTCCAAATTTCCCAAATATTATAAAAACTAATTTGAAACTAATTTTTTTTTAAAAAAAAATCTTGTTCAAAATTAAAAAGAAAAAAAATCCAAATATTTTATTCCCAAAGTTACGCAATTCTAAATATTTTTTTAAAAAAATATTTTGAAATATTTTATTAATTCAAAATTATAATTAGAAAATAATATTTATATGTTTTTTTGAAAAATTGAATTTTAATATATGGTAACTGAATATTTTCAAATATTTTATTCCTAAATTTTCATAATCGATTGTTCTTATCCGTAAAATGTGTATTCTACTATTTGTAGAATATAATAAGAATGTTTGAAATCAATTTCTACAGGTTGTAGATTTATATTAATGTATAGATTCTGATTTCTACCTATTTTAGATTTATAGTAATGTTTAGATTTTGATTTCTACTGATTTTAGAGGAATAGGTTAACTTCGGAATGTGCATTCTAAATAGTTTTACATTATTATTATTTACGTAGAACATGTTTTCTGAATATACTAGACATGATAAAAAAATGGATTTCATATTTTACTTTTTAGAACGTCAATTCTAATATCTCTAGAAGAAAATATGAAATTATGATTTAAAAAAAAAAAATTGGAGAAGGATACCATTAACTTAATATATGTATTTCATCATTAGTTACTATTTTTTGAATTTTCTTTTGTTCATAAAACTATTTATTTGATTAATTTCTGAAAATACTTAAAGTCATTAACATCAAAAATAGTATAAAATTCCTAAAAAGATAATGTCCTAACTGTTTTGGTTTAAAAAACAATTTTCTCAAAACAGAATTGTGACAACGTCCATCATGTGGCTCACAAGCGCTGCAGCGCACCGATCCTAATTCCACTGTGGGAGGAGTTATGGTCGGTGCGCTGCAGCGCTTTTGAGCCACAGGATGGGTTGTCACAAAAAAAAATTGATTTTTTTTGTGACAACCCATCCCGTGGAAGCTCACAGCGCTGCAGCACATCGACCCCAACCCCTCCCTTATGAATATTCACTAACTCCATAATTAGGTTGTTGGTGGAAATCGAACTCAGGTCCTCACCCTTTAACAGCACTCCCACAGAACAAACTATCACCAATTCATCTCCCAAAAAGTTGACTTTTTTTGTGACAACCCATCATGCAGATCAATTGGTGACAACTTATCTTGTGAAGAGTTGTTAAAGAGTAGAGGTCTTGGATTCGAGTAACACCAAGCGCATCAATAACCTATCGGTGGATGTGAAGGCAGTTCCTTCCACGATAAAGGGTTAGAGTCGATACGCTGCAGCACTTATGAGCCAGAGGATAGATTGTCATAAGAATTCCCTTTCCTCAGCACAACAGTCTATTATATAAAACGAATTTGTTCTGCGGTGGTAAATCCCTTATATATTAAAGGAGAAACATTTAAAAAATTGTAACCTCAATTTTGTAATAATTAAAAAAGACCCCATGCTTAGGTGTCACTCAATTAGGTAGTCAATTACATTCAATTGAAAAATAAGTAGGTCCACATTCGATTTTTATATGTCGCTAGATACATTCGTTGGTCAAATTATATGATATGATGATATGATATTATATTTATGATATAAGCATTTATGATTGTTCCCCTAGATATAATTACTATTTTATTTTCTTTCCATAAATAAAACCTACGGAATTACCATAAATGACTAATATATATATGACACTTAATGATTGTTCCCCTAGATATAATTACTATTTTATTGTCTTTCCATAAATAAAACCTACGGAATTACCATAAATAACTAATATATATATATGACACTTAATGATTCTACTAATAAATATTTGATAACAGTTTATATATCCTCCATCATTTTTCTTTAATTTTATATTATTAAAATAAATTAAACAATCAAATTAGCTATAAAATTAAATTTTAGATTTTTTCGTATAGGTTATATTTTGAATTTTAAAAAACAAGAATAAATAACTAAACTATTAAAATTATTATGTTAAAAATTAATGATCAATAGTTTAACATTTTTATTATAAAAAGATATACATGATTTTAAAACCATATAAGTAAAGTATCATTCAATGATAAAACAAATATATATACATATTAAACTATATACCATATAAGATTACATAAATATTTTAATTTCAAAATTTTCAATAAATTTTCAAGAACATTTATAAATTATAAACTTATTAAATTTTTCACATTGAAAATTTTTGTTATCAATGATTTAAATATCTTAGTTCTTTTTAATTTTATATTTTTAAAAGATATTAACAAACGATAATATGGTTATTTTTGGTATATAACATACAAACCGAATGGATGTGATTTTATAAAAACCATAGGATTTTGATATGGTTTGATTTATAACCGATTAAACTGAAACATATAAAAATATATATATATATTTATAACGACTCATGAATATCTATTTGTTACATGAGTTGAAATATAATTATAATTTGTAAATAGCTAACAATTTATTACAACTGAGACTTCTTATTTTGATCTTTTGCTTTTTTAACAGTAACTAAATTGAAGTAAAGATTATAAATTTGATGGACAACACTTAGTTGAAATTCTTTACAACTTTTTTTTTATCTTTAAACAAACAGAGTTTTGTTCAATCAAAGACATATTGGTTTGATGAACACTAAATATAGAAGAATGTAAAAACTTTTCTTACATGCTTCTGTTTTGTTTTTTATTTTTATTTTAAAAATTTAGTGTTTTGATATTAATTCTAGATTTGATCATTTTATTAAATGATATAAGCCTTTTTTTGTTTTTTATTCTTTTATTTAAATATATAATATTTTTTAATAAATGGTTCTGTGACAATATGACTCTAAATATGATCATATTATATATTTGTATAATATATAATATGATCTCAAACTAAATAATTATGTTTTTTGGTATAAAATTGAATAAACTGAAAACCGATGGTATATAAACCAAATCAAACTGAAATACATATAGATTTAGAATAGTAGTTATATTTTAATGATCGAAATTCCAAAAAATCGAGCCGAACCGAAACCTGATATCCGGATTGAACACCTCTAATCCGAATGAAACCGAACTATTGTTTCATTTTTCAAAACATAATAAAAATAATAGCTTCACTCCGCGCAAGACGCGGATCTTATCTTAGTATATATTATTTTTCTTACAGAGTATAAAGGCGTCGAAAACATCTAAATAGATTAAAATAAAAGTTCTAATATCATAGAAAATGCGATATATCCATTCACAATGCTAAACTACTAACGTTAAAAGAAAGAAAGAAAACATTTAACAATACACAAACAGTCCTATAAAAACTGCATAAACTCTTAATAAAGCAAAAGAAAAAACTATTAATAAAGCGTTCAGAAAATTTGGTAGCGTCAGCGTAAGTGGTAGCTTGACTATTACTAAATTTCTTTTTTTTTTTGGAGGATATGATGAAGACTTTATAAAGACGTAAAGTAGGGTAGTTGAGACAAAGGAAAATGGATTATAGGTAAATTTAATCGTTTGGTGATAACTTCCATAGAATTTGGGAAGGTCCTA